CTGACTACATTTGAAGAAAATATACAAAAAGAAAGAGACAATATTCATACTATAAGAGAAACCGAGTTAACAGACATTGACGATAGTCAATCCAGGAAGAGACGGAAGAAAGATGACAGAAATTTTTATGTCTCCAAAATTATTCAAGCTAAGGAAGTTTGCGATACTATACTATCTGAAATTAAAAGAAGGTTTTTGTTTACAGGACATTTGGAAATAGCAAAATTATTTTGAAATTTACAGAAACAATTTTGAAATATACAGCTCAAATGTTCCTACATTGACATTGGAATCAGCAATTAACAATTATCCCTTTTTAAATAAAGTCCTTGTTATGATGCCAATGGCAACAGCAGAAGCAGAACGATGTTTCTCTACATTGAAACGTATCAAAACTTTCCTTAGAAGTACTATGGGCCAGGATCGACTAACTGCACTCGCCATGTTATCAATTGAAAAAAAAATGATAAGAAATTCTAAATTTTAATGAATTGGTTATTTTGCCTATTAGTTAGGGTATTTTTTTTTGTTGTATGTTAATTTTTGGTTATTGAACTTTCAACAAGGATAAAAGATGGAACCACGAAATACAACAATGGGGACCATGGTTAGGAAAGAGAAGCAGAGAAAGACCACAAATAAGATGGGCGGATGACATTAAGAAGATCGGAGGACACAACTGGAAGCAAGTGGCGTAAAATAGAAAACACTACATTGATTTGGGGGAGGCCTATGTCCAAAGTTGTATTACTTAAGGCTGAAGAAGAAGAAAGAAGAACTTTCGACACATTATACAATTTTCAGGTGATATAAAGTTCGCCAGGTCAGATAGTATATTTAAAAAATCAATTACATACGGAAGATAGTTTACTATTGCATAAAATGTGCTACGAAAATGATCTAAAAGTATAATATTGCCCTCAAAGTGTTAATAATCGTAACTTTTTAAAGAAAATACTTATATTTTGGTAATTACTTTTATGGTGTGGAGATGGATTATATTTGTCTATAAATAATATTTATAATGCGTTCTTTTATAAAAACTACAAAAATGATGTCGTTTTCGGTATTTTATGTTTTTTTTTAATAAAATTACTCTATGATACATTACCTACCTTCTGTTCAAACTTCTTTGCTGTTTATACAAATAAATGTAAGAAAATAACACAGTAGCATAATTGTAAACTCATTTTTCTTTATTCATAAATCATAAATAAATCTCTAAAAGGTACAGAAATGTTTCTATCTGACATTTTTACGTATACATCATCGGCAATCAACGAACTGATTTAATGTTGGATTGACTATTATGCTTTCAAATGGGATATAAGGGAAGGATATTTTATTTATTTAGAAGAGGGGAGACAACAGGTCCCACCACTCTTACCAAATTTACCTTTTCTTGGTGGAATTTTCTGTTTTACCAGAAGCCATCAATTAATACCAAACTGTCTCTTCTCTATCTAATATTAACAGTACAGAAGTTTTTCTAATAAAATAATGAATGAAAAGAAATAAACTGTGCAGCGTGGAAAGATGTACTTGTTTTAATTTTATTTTTTAAAGTTTCAACCCTTTATAAGAACTAAGAAAATATATAGCACTATACGCAGTGTAGTGTTATCAATTTGGTCTGTAGATAGAATAATTAAATGTTATTACGTGTAAAATTGAATGTGTAGAAAGCAGAATTGCCAACTTTTGATCTCATCTCATGCCAGACTATAAATACCAGACAGGAAAATTCAAGTACCGTATTAGTAAACTCACCAGCAACTCTTGCAAGCTTTCTAGCTGTTGCGCCATAATAGCCATTTCTTGTTTGAAATATTGAATGACATCCTCAAAACTTTTTTTCTGTTTTATTAATTTTTTTAGATGACATTTACATTCCTTTAGTTCATCCTAAAATATTTACAAAGTTTTAAACACAAAATCAGATAATGATAAAAAGATACCTATGTTTAATTTACAAAAGAGTTTATGCAAATCGTTACATAAACTATAACATACAACATAAGTAATTTTTTTAAACTTAAATATTCGTTTATAGTGGATTAAACTACAATTAATTTGTAGTTTACTTTGATGACTTTCGATTTCCAATGGTGGAATTGTTTTCTAAAAATCTTTAAAATAAAAATAATGAATTACCTAAGTACAGTGCAGCCAAGTTGAACTTGTGCACCGTACTGAAGACGACCAATAGTCCAAAATTCCCTCTTATACACACATTTTATTATATATTTTTTTCTTTTTTGTGAGCTATGCCGATACCTTCTAACTTTCTTCTTCTTTTTGTGCCACTCCTATCGGAGATTGGAAATCATCAAGGCTATTCTGACCTTGTTTACGGCTGACCTAAAGAGTTCATTAGTGGTGCAGCCAAACCACTCTCTCAAATTCCGCAACCATGACATTCTTCTACGGCCTGGATTCCGTTTTCCTTCTATTTTTCCCTGCATTATATTTTGAAGTAATGCGTATTTATGTCCTCTCATCAGGTGACCAAAATATTCGATTTTTTTTCGCTTTAGCGTTAACAAAATCTCTGGGTCTTTTCCTATTCTTCGTATTACTTCACAGTTTGTTATTCTTTCAACCCAACTAATCTTCAGCATTCGACGGTAGCACCACATCTCGAAACTTTCAATATTTTTCATGTTGTTCTGTTTGAGAGTCCAGGCCTCTACACCGTATAATAGCGTGTTAAATACATAGCCTCTCAGCATTCTTAATCGTAGAGGGATGCTTATATTTCTGTTGCAGAAGAATTTTCTCATCTTTATGAAGGTGGCCCTGGCAATTTCGATACGTCTTTTTATTTCACTGTTTTGGTCTCCAGTTTCGTTTATTAAAGTTCCCAAGTATTTGTAACTTGATACTTTTCCAACTTGAGTGCCGTTTATACCAATATACGCTGGTTGTGTCATGTTTTTACTGAAGACCATATACTTGGTTTTTTTAATATTGATATTTATACCATAATTGTTGCAAGCAATATTTATGTCTGTAAGTAATCTTTGTAATTCTTCTACTGTTCTTGCAACTAATACAGTGTCGTCCGCGTATCGAATATTATTTACAATCTCTCCATTAATTACGATTCCTCCTTTTGCTTCCTGACAGATGCTTTCACTATATACATTAAATAACAGAGGTGACAAAATGCAACCCTGTCGTACTCCTCTACGTATTTCTATTGCTTGTGATGTTTCAGTTTCTATTTTGATGTTAGCTTTCTGATTCCAATATAGATTGAGAATTATTCGCAGATCTTTATTATCTACGTCCTTCCTTTCAAGAATCTCTCTAAGCTTATCATGGCGTACTCTGTCAAACGCTTTTTCAAAATCGATAAAACACGTATGTACCTCCTGATTAACGTCTAGGCATCTTTGTGTGAGAACATTCAAACCGAAGAGAGCTTCTCGAGCACCAAGCCCTTTTCTGAACCCCATCTGTGTATTACTAATATCTGACTCCAACTTTTGATAAACTCGGTTGTGGATGATTTTTAGAAATATCTTTAGTAGGTGGCTCATTAAAGATATTGTTCGATGTTCTGAACATTCTTTAGCATTAGATTTCTTTGGCAGTGTAAGGAATGTAGACAACAGCCACTCTTGAGGTATAATGCCAGTATTCTACTCTTCTACCTTTAATTTACCATTAACTCGTATTAACCTTTTTGTTGTTGTTGTTGTTGTTTGAAACGTTTTAAACGTTTGGCATTCCTTTCCTCAGATAGCTTAGCCACCTCCGTGGATGTGTTAGTTATTGCTCTGGAAACCTCAGAGTCTTCTAACATTATTGCACAAATTGGTCGCATGGCGCCTATAGTGATCCTTTCCCAGTTAACATGCTTCTATTCTATCTTGGCTGCACCGTACTGAAGACGACCAATAGTCAGAAATACGTATATATGGTTGCTTCCATCTTATACACATATTTTATTATATTTTTTTTTCCTTTTTTGCCCGCTATTCCGATACCTTCTACCTTTATTTTACTATTAACTCGCATTAACTTTTTCGTATCCATTTTCTCCCAAACACTTTATTTTTTATAATACTCTAGCATTTCAGCACTCACTTCATCGGGGCCAAGTGTTTTTCTGTTTTTTTTGCCGGTTGTATTGCCCATGCAGCGTGCATGGAAGAGTAGAGGGAAGAACAGGATGAGGTTGATCTTGGCTGAGGAATATCAGAGAGTTGACTAAGCTCAGTGTTGAACAGATATTTCGAAATAAGGGTTAAATAACTGATCGCCAATCTTCGTTAGAACACGGCACAGTAATAAGAAGATTGCCCATGTATCCTCACTTTCTATAGATGGACCTGTAATCTTTCATCTTCAAATAACTCAGAAATGTCGTTTTTAAATTCTTTTAACTGTTCATTTATATCTAATATTCCGTGTCTATTTTTGTCTTCTAAACTTTTGGATAGTAATTTCCGGTGATTTCTTTTAATTTATTGTGAAGGTGAACTCTATAGTGTTTATCTCTATAGTGTTCAATTTCATTACAAGTCTTTTCTATGAGATTGTGTTTTCGCATGCATTATCTTCTGCCTAATTATTGCGTGGATCCTCTTGTATTCATATATGATTATTTCTGACTTCTGTTTTTTAGTGTCCATGAGTCTCAGTATTTCTTCTGTCATAAACCCTTGTTTTCTTCTTATTTTTACTGCACTCAATTTTGTTTCTTGAACGGTTTTTAACATATCTTTAATTCTCATCCAGTTTTCATCAATACTTTTCTCTTTGCTTGATGCCAACTTTTTTTTTCTAATACACTGGTTATTTCTTGTTTTAAGAATCATTTATCATTTGGCGGTATTAGAAACAAGATTTCCTAGCGTCTTCACTAGGTCAATGATTTGGCCTTCAAGAATGCTCCTTTTAGTCTAAAAACCCCTGTTCTAATCAGATATTTTATACTGAAAGTTTCATATAACAATTGTGTTGTTGTTATTGTTTAAAATATCACGAGCTTGATAAAATTTTCATAATAATTATAACTTTTATAAACTGTTTTTGTAAAAGGTGTAAAAATTGAAGAAAGCAAAATTACCGTTTCGTTAAATTGCAATTTAAGCTAGCACTACAAGCCAAGCAACAAAAATTAGCATTATAAATACCTCTGTACTCTTTAGTAAACACTGATATTTAAATAGTTGGTGATCCAGTCCTTCAACATCTTGCAGACTATTGTAATGATCAACTTCTACGTTAAAATTTAGTTCTTGTAGCTGTTGGTATTTTTCTGTCACTATGCTAATCTGTAATAAAAGTATAACTTATGATTTGGTAATTATCATTTGCATTATTATATTAGTTTTTCTTTTGATATCTATTTTTTAAATTCTGTTTCGTCGTAAAAGTTTATCTGTTATGATAATTAAATTATTTGCTGAACATTCTCAAACAAAAACAGAGTCGATCTAGGGTTTGAATTATTAAAATAATTTGAGCATTTATTGTTTTTCTGCCAACAGTGGTTTGTAAAACTTTATATTGAGATACTAAAAATGTAAGTTATGTTTATTTTAATATTTGTAAAGTTTTTATCCTTAAACATAACTGATATTTAATATCTTATTTATTATCTAAAATTAAGTGGTTTTACAGAAAAAGTAATAAAAAAGTGGTACATAGCCAAGGGAGGCAAATTATCTTTACGTTTATGTATTTATGAAACGGGAAAAAGATATTGCGGGATGGGATATTGCACAACACCTTTATCTCTACTAGAGCGAGTAGTTCAAGCAACTGGTGTTTCAGAAAGTACGGTAAAGAGGGTAATACAGGAAAGTGAAAACAAGCCATCAACTGGTTTACCCAAAAGAAGCATTTCCCTTTAATTATCGGTTAATTCATGCGAGAAATACATTATAAGAAAGACCATCTATACATTTGCTAATATCTACAAAAGAAGACCTACCATGAGTGCTATTTAGAACCTGTTAAAAACGGAGGAATTGTAACTGTTAAACTATCTCCTTTTAGAAAAATTGTAAATAAATTAGCATTGACGTGGAAAAAATGGAAGACAACAAAAACTTTTGGTGAAGAAAATTGACAAGAGGGCCAAAAAACAGAATTTATAAGAAAACTAAAAAAATACAAATCTGAAAGTAAGATATTTATTCGTTAACATTATAAGTAATTTCAAATTATTTTAAAATAGGTGTATTGTATTTCATAGTGACGAAAGTTACATACATAGTTCCCACTCAGTTCCAAAACGTTAGATGATGAACCAAACATGAGCTTAAAATCTTCTGTATCTAAAGGACAACGACTGATTATTTTACAGTGCGGTGGTAAAAATGGATTTGTCGAAAACGCTGCTCTCATTTTCAAATCTGGTTTAAAAACTGATGATTATCCTGACATTAATCATCAGAATTATTTGAAATGTTTGAAAGAAAAACTTCTTCTCAATTTACCTTCCAATTCCAAACACCAGACTAAATTAAATCACACCAGATATATGAACAAATACTTGTATGCATATTGAAAACACTGACGATAAGTATTTTAGCCGCGAATTCATAATGGATGAAGAGCATGAATTTATCATAAAATTAAAAGACGATAGCGAGCCTGAAACAAAACTATCTAATAGCGACGACGATGACGACAACAACATGTAAATGCAAATACATTTTGACCAATTTCAACATTCTATTCTTTTTCTATCACATGTTGATTTGTTATTAATTTCTCCTTTAAATTTTTTTTCAGCTCTTCAAAGGTTAAATTATGATAAACATCTGTGCAATGTAAATAGTTAAATAAATTGTAAATGTTTTTACATAATTATTTTACATGATTTTTGCGAAGAGTTATGTTTTCTCTATTAAGGTAAGCGTTCATTGAGACAGAGCGGACGCGACGAATCGCATTTGTTTTAAGACATGCGTGCATTTGGCATGATACTATAACAACAAGATATGCTCACTTGCTATTCTAATTTTAATTGACTTTGCGCATGTCGTCATAGCGAGACAAAGCCAGGGGACTTGTATGTATCATATTTTAACGATGCATCATATGGCAACGTTGTTCCATTACTGTAATGAACAACTTCAAAACTTTAACGGTTAACGGTAAGTATACCTCGATGCCATATCTTGCACTAAGAAGTCATAACTAGTTACTTTCTGTGAAAACGTGTTTTGAAAATTAATAAGAAATTTCTAAAATTAATTAAAGAAATATATGAATCTACGATTTGATTGTTTTTATTACAAACAAAATAAATATTGCTACAAAACATAAATTAAATATAAAAGGTCGGCAAAATGTAAAGAATTTGACCACAAAGGAAAAGAGGGTCAAACTCTTTATAAATTATTATGAACGTAAAATTTTGCAGTTCATGTGAGCTATACTTTACACTATATGGAGATCCGCCCTGTCGTGTTTCAGTATGAAATTAAAATTTCAATATAACTTCAATATTCAAAATAAAATCAACATCAAGGAGTCAATGATATGAGGATTTGCAACAAGTCTAACTCAACATTGAATACATTTTCATAAATTTATATTCACCATCAAGCAAATTAAATCATTTATTACAGTTTCAAGTCTTATTTTCCTTTAAAATATAACTTCTAATTTAAGATTGTAAAAGTGAATCAATTTATATGCACTTAGTAATATTAGAAAATAAAAAAAATACCTGATTCCTGAGATCTTCCTTTTCCAATTCGTTTTCAGACATTACTTGAAGAAGATTTTCTACCATCTTTTGATGATCAACCACCTAAAATAAAATTATTACATAAAGCAGTAAAGACAACGACGTATTTCACTTACATGCACTTACTATGTTCTCTACTTTCTGGTGGAAACATGCAGACAATAGTAGATAACAAAAAAGTCAAAATCAAAATCGAAAATATATTTTGTAAAAAATAAATACATTCTAAAAAAAACTAGGAAGAAAATTTTTATTGCACTAGAATCGGAATTTATAAAAATGTTTTCTTTAAAAAGAAATAAGATCTCGACGAAGCTCACTTTCGATTGGCATAGCTCTAAGCTAAATATGATGGCTAGGCTTACATTATACTCCAGTTTCAAAGCTATAGTAGCCTTACATTAATCTCCCTTAAGTAAGTCTTATGAGGTAATGCTTCACTTTCCTACTCTGCATTTACAGGTAAGAAGGATCACTTTAGAAAGTGCCTGTATTTAAGTGTCTATATTTATCACTGTTATTAAAGGATATTTTTCGAACCTATAGCAATGAATACTAGACCGTAAGTACTGTTGCAAAGAATCTTGGGCGAAGTTAGACACCACACGCCTCACGAATAAAAAAGTTTTGTCAAAATAAAAAAAATATCTCAATCTATTTAAAATTGACAACACATCTAACCTAATTTGTTTACAAACTTGACAATTATTTTTCATTACAAAAATTAATTGAGGAATTGCATGTTGTAAGAATGTTAGTGTACATTTTAGTCTTTCATATGAAAATAATAAGATATCTTTTGTAAGTTTTTACGAAAAGATGGATGCGATTCTGATAAAGAAAACAATATTTTACTTAAACCCTCTTTGGCTAAGTGCAGCACTCGATCTAACTCAAGCACAAATTGCTTCTAGTTCCACCTCAAAAAAAGAAGACAAAATCCTACATATATTTATCGGATAGTGACTTAGAGGCAGAAGTATATAATAACCAGAACCTAGAATTGCACAATACAATCAAGTTAACAAAATCTAGAGATATTACTTACATTTTAGGAGATTTAAATGAAAAAATTGGAGTAGGTACAGTTGAAAATATAGTTGGACAGTTCGGACTAGGAACTAGAAACGAGAGAGGAGAAAGGCTCATAGAATTCTGCCAAGAAAAGAATATGGTAATTGCCAATACTTGGTTTTAGCTTCCTAAAAGAAGACTATATACATGGACGTCTCCTTCACATACAGAAAACCACATTGTCAGAAACCAGATAGACTTTATACTCGTAAATAGCACATATAAAAACTCTATAACCTCAGTTAAAACTTATCCTGGAGCAGATGTTAATTCAGACCACAATCCGCTAGTGGCTGACGTGAAAATAAAATTAAAAAGAATTGAACTCAGAAAACAACAACCAAAAATTAACGTAAGAATGCTACAAAACGAAGAAATAAAAAACGAAATAAAAAATAATGTGAATGTTAATATGCAAAAAACACTAACTGACAACAAACAAATTATGGATGTAAATAAAAAGTGGTGTAATATAAAAAACACATTACTGAAACCAGCTCAAGAAAGTTTAATAGAACATAAATCAGAGGCTAAAAAACACTGGATGACAGAAGAAATACTATTACTGATGGAAGAAAGAAGGAAATATAAAGGAAAAGATCTACAGAAGTATAAAGAAATACAACGAATAATTAGGGAAAAAATCAAAACAGCTAAGGAAATCTATTTGATGAAGCAATGTAAAGAGATAGAAGAACTAGAAACAAAATATGATATGAGAAATATGCACAAAAAAATTAGAGAAGTGACTGGAATGGGTCGAAATAGACAGCAAGGACACATAAAAGACAAAAAAGGAGTACTACTAGTAGATTTACCAGAGAAGTTAATGCGATGAGAGGAGTACGTTAGAGAACTTTTCCAAGATGAAAGAGGTGAAATGCAGAAAATACAAGAATTAAATCCTTTAGAGATACAGAAGATCACGATAGATGAAATCAAATATGCTATCAAAAACTCTAAAGACAATAAGGCAGCTGGATTAGATGAAATACCAGTAGAACTTTTAAAACTAGTGGAAGAGGACAACTTGGAAGTATTGGCAGATTTATTCAACACGGTGTACGATACGGGAATAATACCACAGGAGTGGCTAAAGTCAGCATTTATAACCATCCCTAAAAAACAAGCAGCAAAAGAGTGCTCTGATTATCGAACACTGAGCCTCATGAGTCATACTTTAAAAGTTCTGCTAAAAATAATACATAAGAGAATATACGAAAGGCTAGAGGAGGATATTAGCGAGACGCAGATCGGGTTCCGAAATGGAATGGGTACTCGAGAAGGACTATTTGCCATCAACATATTAATTCAGCGATGTCGGGATGTAAATGTTGATCTACACTTGTGCTTCGTTGACTACGAAAAAGCTTTCGATAAAGTAAGACATGAAAAACTAATATCAATACTTATGAACAAGGGCATTGACAGTAAAATCATAAATATAGTGCAAACATTATATTGGAACCAAAGTGCCATAGTTCAAATTGATGGGCAACACTCAGAAGAAATGAGGATCTGCAGAGGAGTTAGACAGGGATGTGTGTTATCACCACTTTTGTTTAACTTATATTCTGAAGAAATTTTCCAAAACACGCTCAATAATATCGAAGCGGGAGTCACCGTTAACGGAAAATTAATTAATAATTTAAGATATGCAGACGACACTGTGATCATAGCAACGAGTATAGAGGATCTACAACATCTTATCGAAAGCTTGAGTATAAATAGTGCTGAGATGGGAATTACTATAAACGCTAAAAAAACGAAGTACATGCTGATTACAAAAAGGCCACAAAATATACATCACCTATTGACAATAAATGGTAACGTGATAGAACAAGTAGAAAAATATCAGTATTTGGGAACTTTGATCAATGAAACCAATGATCATACTGTAGAAATAAACAGACGAATCGAGATTGCCAGATCAGCATTTATACGAATGAAGCCACTCCTAACGTGCAAAAATCTAAATTTGGAGATCAGACTACGTACCATTCGCTGTTATATATTTTCAATATTATTATATGGAGCTGAGACTTGGACATTAAAAAAATGTAATTTAAAAAGAATCGAGGCCTTCGAACTCTGGTTATACCGCAGATTATTGAAAATATCATGGACTGATAGAATTACAAATAAAGAAGTACTGGAGAGGGTTGGTAAAGAAACAGAACTAATCACCACTATACAAACCAGAAAACTGAAATACCTAGGCCACGTGATGAGGGGACCAAAATATGAAATTTTGAGACATAATACAGGGAAAGATTCAAGGAAGAAGATCTGTTGGCCGAAGGCAGAACTCATGGTTAAATAATCTACGTGATTGGTACCAATGCAGATCGATTGATTTGTTTAGAGCAGCAAGTTCTAAAATAAAAATAGCCATTATGATTGCCAACCTCCGTAGGGAGACGGCACTCTAAGAAGAAGATGTAGAGCTATAAATTTTTACCAGTGATTCGGGAAGTAATATCTACCAACCCATAAAAAAACCCAATTTTCGGTCACTAGGCACGCACCTAGGTTGCCTAAGCCTTAGTCCGCCCCTGGCAACAGGAGAGGAAGTAATATCATTATGCTTTAAAAATACACTCGTATAATAAAAATAATTATTTTTAGGCCAGATTATCTTACTTAAAACCACTCACACAAAAAATTGCATATAATTATCAAGAGAAACAAATAAAATTTCGAACAATGTTTAAATTTTTGGCCCCTTTATTTGTGTCCACCTAGCTGACAACATGCGCACCAAATTTTCAAAATCGGCTTCACTTATTGTCCTCCAGTTGTACATATAGTTTATTATTATTACATCTATGGGAATCATAAAAGAAGGGAAGTGAACCTCGCATAAGGATAAAAACAAAGATAATGATGAACAATTAGGAAAAAGCTTAAAATAATTTCAATAGGTTTCGCAGTATTGTTATTTCTCTCATCTTTCTGAGACATAAAATGATTACACTAAAAAGAAACATTTTTACTAATTCCAATTTCTTAAAACACTATAAACAATATAAGTTGTTATTAAAATAGTTACTAAAATTCAAAAATACGTTAAAAACTTAAAATCAAATAAGTTAAATAAATAATAATCGCTAGGAACATTTACGGCTAATTTTACAATTAAAAAATAATTAGTAGAAGCGGTAACAAATAAACAGAATAGTTTTTGTATATTAAGAGGTAGATTAGTAAACAACAAAATGAGTGAAACTTTCACAATTTTTTAACCTTCATAGATGTTCATTTTTCTGATAATTGAATTAAAACATAAAACGCCAATCTAGACTAAATCATGCACATTTCTATTTACCAAGATGCACAACTAATCACTAATAATTCGTTTCTCTTACTTTGCAATGTTATTAGTTAAAAACTGGGAGTTGCTTCTAATACTAAATGTTAATAAATTAAAAAACATATTAAATTAAACACTGGTCGTCAAATATCATGCACTGGTTTTTCGTTATTGTTCGTGGGCTTTGTTTCAGACAGGCCAAACCACCGTGACGCCCATCCAACACTCACATTATCGTCGTGTTTCTGTTTGGTATTATCGAGTTCATTTTTTGCAGAAACTAGTGCTTCTTGTAGGTTATTGATGGTAGTTCTTTGACGATCAATCTGAAAGGAATTTTTAATTTAATTTTTAGAACACAAACATTTTTTTAAATTTTTTGGACAACATTTTTACTTTTATTTTTTATGATGTGGCATTAAACAATACATACAACCCTTAACTTTCACTATTTTATCATCAATCCCTATCTGTTTAAAAGGAAAACAATCACGATTACCTTTTCACAGCATTGACGCTGAAAGAAAAGCAAAAAGAATTTTAGAAGTTGTATCAACAAATGTATGTGGCCCTATAGATCCAATAACTCATGATAATAAAACTTATTTTGTTACATTTATAGACCATTATTCACATTTTTGTATATGTTATTTAATTGAAAGAAAATCTGAAGTATTAGATAATTTTAAAGAATATATTGATATGGTCACTGCTAAATTTAATGTAAAAATTGAACGGATAAGGTGTGATAATGGAGGTGAGTACTCATCAAAAGCTTTTAAAAGATTATGTTCAAATAATGGAATTATAGTCCAGTATACAGTACCTAGGAATCCAGAGCAAAAAGATGTTTCTGAACGCTTTAACAGAACCATTATGGAAAAAGCAAGATGTTGCTTGCCAAACCAAGGACAAGTTGCTATCAACAGGTCCTCGAAGATACTTCGTCTCAGGACCATACAACCTATGTAGGGTCATACGTCGCCATGTTACCAATTCCAACGGTGACTTAAACATCCTAATTTGTAATGATATATAATGTAAAACAACTTTTATTTATAACATTTAACGGGTTTTGACCCATACATTTTGGTGGTTCATAGCATGTATACCCCGTTTACACTGATGATGGAATTAACATTCCGAAAACGTTCTGTAATGTAATTGTGATAGCCCGTTTGGGCATAATTATATACCTTTTATAAAGGATTTGAAATAATTTTTTTTTGATATATGGTATACAGCCAGCTAAAGGAACTTAGTTTCCTAGTGGATTCTATATTGTACATTTTTATGTTAAGTGTTGGCATTACCTGTCAGTGACACAAGTGTCAAACGTCAACAATTAGAATTAAGACATATTTGTACACGGGAATTTATTTTAGAATAAAACGTTTATTTTTGTCAACGTATTATTTTAATATTCCATAAGCAAGACTTTTTCCACCACGTATCCCTAAAGAAACACGATCCATATTATCATGGGAGATTTTAATGCGAAGATTATAGATAGAGAGCAGGAAGATACAGAAAAATATGGTCTGGGAGTACGAAATGGAAGAGGAGATATTATGATGGCTTTTTTTATGTAGAAATGCAACTAGTAATAACACAATTTTACAACCTCAAAGAGCCTTCTATACACCTGGAGATCGCCAGCTGAACGAGTGATTCTTGTAACCAAATAGACTTCATATGTTTAAATAAAACATACGGTGAGACTTTAGTATTTTAGTAGGCAAAACATATTCAAGTGCAGACGTATTAATATATCACAATATTGTGGAAGAAAAAATAAGACAGATTAAATGATATCGCAGAATAATTAATAACCAGTGTACTAGAACAAAAAATAAACTGTATCCAAGCAAAAAGGAAAGTACTGAGGAAAACTGGATGACAATGAAAGATATATTAAAGACCGTTCACTAAAAAAATTAAGTGTAGTAAAAGACTAATGGACCAAACAAGAGAAGTTAAGTAAAGATCAAAACGAATACAAGAGGTTCCACGCTATAGTGAGGCAGAAGATAAAATATACGAATACTCAATTTCTTAGAAAAGAATGTAATGAAATGGAAAACTACGAAAATAAACACGATACATTTCACCTGCACAGGAAATTAAAAAAATATCGCCGGAAACATCTATCAAAAAGTTTAAAAGACAAAACTAGTAAAAAAAGACACTCTCTGATGATTTTTAAACATAACCATTTTCTCCTACCTGGACCTCTGCTTCCTTCAATTTTCCCTTCCATCAAAGACCTCAAGAGCTCATAACGCCTTCCCCGATACAAATATTCTAGATAACTGGCTGACCAACATATCACAAAAATACTACAATTACTAGACATTTGGGACTGTGTTCAGTGAATAAAGTATACATTACTCTAAAGCCTGCCTCCAAATGTCACAATAACACCCCTTCCTTTACCGATCACACCAATCAATGTTCGGAGCAGTTTAACCGATAGGCGGCCAACTTGGCTGGGTCCTCTACAATGATATATAGAAGCAGAAAGCTAATATGAGTTCAAGCGCTCTTTTATGGTCAGTTCCGATAGCTCCCGTAATGCCTGACGTAAATGGTGAAACAAAGATAGGTCGGGAACACCAGTAAAATTTTCAAATTATATGCAATAACTTCACTAAATCTAAGTAAATATGTAAACTTCCTTACCTCCATTCTAAATTTCTCTTCACTTGCTTCTAAAACATTTATTGTGTTGGTATATAAGTCTACCTGCATAAAATAGAATCTATATTAAATAAAGAATGTACCATTGTACATAAAAGTACTGTACTAAACATTTCTTATAAAAAATGCTTATGAATTTACAAATTTCATAATAAGCTATACATTCCAGCTTTTATAAAAGCCTCATTTCGAATAGTTTCGCTGCACTTGCAGATTATCAGACAATGGTATGCTGAAGATAAAATGAAAATTATAAAGGCAGGTCCCTTACACATTCTTATCATAGTGGTCATGCTTGACCTCCTTTCATTGCAAAGGTAGGAGCACCTAGCCTAACCACGCTTTTCACTATGGAGGTATCGCCAACTTATTTGTTTCCGCCCATTGAAAGGCCCATTTTTCTTTCAGTTTATCTACAGATTACCAGTAACGAGCTGCAAGTACATCGAAACTAGTTGTGAGATGTGACCAGACACAAAATTTTATATATAAACCAGAAAATTACGCTCTTGGAAATGTTCTATAAAACATATCAACGAAATAAAAAAAGAGATCAACCATAATTTTATTTATATTACTATTAAAAAGTTTAACGTTTCTGAGATTGCATTAGATATTGAAAATGTTTAAGGAAAGCAATATATATTGAGGTATTAGCAGATAATTGATATATGTATAAAGCGGGCAAAAGCTAGTAGATTTTGGTAATAATTAAAGCAACATATGTGTATAAAAATAGCGTATCTACTCACAGCCATTTGTAAATTGTTTGCTCGTCTTTCTGCATCCTGCGTTGAAGTTTCTAGTTCCGTAACTCTACTCTTTAATTGTTGGATACATAGACATTGATGTTCATTCTCAATCCTCATTTCTGATTCCTTACTTCTTAAAATATCTAGTTGTTTTTCAACGAAGTTTAGCGTGTCCTTTTGTGATTTTATAATATCTTCTTTATTATCAATCTACAACGTTACACAACACCTATTTAGTTTGAAGATTTTTTTAACGTTTAAATATATTAGATATCAATGTAAATCCCATTTCAGCAACCTCTTAAAAACATTTTTCGGTATACTTATTCTGTAAAATATAGTATACTGTTAACTACTATGAGTATGAGCAAACAATTTTAAAATTTTACAAATTTTTCGGTAGTTCAATAACTAACAAGAATTTTAATTAAAAAAAAATAAATAAAGAACTAAAAACTATTATTTTTTTATTTTCTGAGATGAAACGTGTTTTAACTAAAAAAAAATCCATGGTAATCCATGAATAAAAATGTTTAATTGGACGAAACCTGACATTGCATAAATGCATCAAGTATTTCAAAATTTGGCTCATATAAACTTTCTCGAATATAAGGCAATTCTTGAAATGACATGAAAAATGAATAAAAAAGCTGAGAAATTAAAGAACAACGTGAAGAGACAGGAAAAACAAATATATTTCAATCATCAGATTGTATCAGAACCAATCACTACCTTTTTCCACTTAGACACATCTATTTGCAGACTTAAATAAAGCCTCTGATAGTGTCCCCTTGATTAACAGAAGCCATGGAAAAAAACAATACGCAACAATAAAAATCGAATAGTGATATAAAGTAAGCAAAGTATTCAGAGCAACAAAAGGTCTTAAATAAGGTTGTACACTGTTTAAATTATTTTTAGAACAAACATCGGGGCAATGGAAAAAGAAAAGCAGAAATATAGGGCTTACACTTAATAGCAGCAGAGTATGATGACTTGGAGCAGTGGTGCTCAGACTTATACTGCATGGGATCTACCACATAAACTGCAAGCATCCGGTGATCGACTGCTATGCCCTGTTTTTAAACCAGGAGGAGTAATTCAAATTTACCGCGCCGTAATGTTTGTTTGTAATTGGTCCAACCTCAGGCAAGTTTACTCCACTATTATGAAAGTTTGACACTAATGGCATTTCACAGGTTAATTAAGCTATATCATCGTGTATATGTTAGACTGCTTTTATATATATATATAAAAAAACAGTTGTTTTTAGAACTCTTTAGCGACGTATTAGTATAATATAATATTTTTGGATTACCGTCGAAGGCCGATATGATCAACCAAAAAGGAAGATGTATTTGGTAACTTCAGTGACTTTCTTGGGTGTGAATATGTCTCTTTAGTTTACTCCTCCTGGTTTAAAAACAAAGCATAGTAAAAAAAATATGATGGTACGTAATTACCGAGGGCCAAACGCAAGCATGAAGAGAGATGTTCGTCAGTTAGCCGATTACGATATTTTGATTTCACTATCTTCCTTTGGGAAAACTACAGACTCACACAATTATGTTGATTCAAAGAATATTGTGAGCTACAGAGTTACTTGTCTCAAAGACGGATATTTTTCAAATGATATGAACGACCAAAATTTCGTATTTATAGCTCTGGATTTAAGGTGTCTATCCCAAATTATGATAACAACTTGAGATATGCCGATGACACGGTACTAATCGCAAAAACTTGGGAAGATCTTCAAATACTAATTAACAAAATAGTAGAATGCAGTGAAGAACACGGATTATCACTTAACATAAGCAAAACAAAAATAATGCTAATATCTAAATCACCACAAAACTTCCCTGACATAACCGTGCATGATCAAAGAATCGAACGTGTAAGAAGATATAATTACCTGGGAACTGTTATCAACGAAAATAATGACTGCTCTGAAGAAATCAGAACCAGAATAGAGAAAGCTAGAGCCACATTTACTAAATTGAAAAAGGTGTTCTGCGGAAGAGATCTAAGTCTAAAACTTAAAATTCGCCTTTTGAGATGTTACGTTATGTCAGTTCTCCTCTACGGGATGGAAACATGGACATTGAAAAAGATCGATACCAAAAAGATAGAAGCATTTGAGTTGTGGATGTATCGTAGAATATTAAAAATACCCTGGACAGAGAAAGTAACAAATGTGGAGGTTTTGCGGAGAGTGCGGAAAGAGAAAGAGCTGATACTTACTGTTAAAAAGCGCAAACTACAATATTTGGGACATGTTATGAGGGGAAATAAATACCAGTTGCTGAAATTGATTATACAGGGAAAGATAATGGGAAAGAGATCTATAGGAAGAAGAAGGCATTCATGGTTGAAAAACTTGAGAGAATGGTACAATTGCACCAATTACCAACTGTTTAGATCTGCAGCATCAAAAATACGCATAGCTTTGATGATAGCCAAACTTCGGAACGAAGACGGCACTTAAAGAAGAAGAATCCCAAATTATTTTCAGTGAGAGAGGGAGAGAGAGGGATAGAAGAATCCTTTGAAATCTATTAGAAAATTAAATAAAGTTTATATTTTATAAATGAATTTCAATATAAAAACACATGAAAAAATTATTGAGTTGTATTATTCATATACCTGGATAATTTTAATTATACAGACGCCAAGTCATTAAGAGTTGTATTATTCATATACCTGGATAATTTTAATTATATAGACGCCAAGTCATTAATTAGATTTTTTTATATCTTAGCGGCATAATAATGCTTCCAAACTGAAGCTAGAGGCACGCAGATTAAAATTAGCGTAACACTGACATTATTAAAAAAAAAGAGTAAGTAGTTGTAATATTTTTTATACTAATATTATCTATTCTATTGAATAAATTAAAAAAAAAGATATGTTTATGACAATATGTTTATGACAACTAAAGTAAGATACGAAAGTCCGAGATTCAATTTTTTTCTAAATATCTTAAAAAGGGCGTCTGCAACATCTAACAAACAATTACTATTTAACTGAGAATAAGCCACAATTAAAGATAAAAATACGTTTATTGACGTTTCAATTTCCACTTCGGAAATCGTTCTCAAAATACAAACAGTAAATTAAACAAATTTTGTTTTTTGTTACATAGTGAAAAATTCTTCTAATAATTTAATTTTATCTGACTCATTTATATTGACAATTCAGACATACATTATGCATTTTAAAGTAGACGACTTTAAAATGATATTGCCAATATTGTTGAGTTGCGCTCCTGGGACGACTTTACTTATAAGATAGTTCATTCGATTACATGAAATCAACTTTAACTTGAGAATATCCGTCAGAAAAAATCATAGCATGTAATTCGTCTTTAAAAAGACAAACACATGACATGATGACAGTAAAATTCTCCTGTTAGTGATTCCATAGTAAATTATGAGAGAAAACCAGGAAAAAAACCTCATAATACTATCCCGACATTGTAAGTATTTGTTCGTGAATTTAGTTTACCTTCAACAAATTTGTTGAAGGTAAACTAAATTCATTCATAAAGTTATTTGCGACTTTAACGTGTTTTTATTTTTTATCAACTAGAATCTAATAATATTAAGTTCAAATTCTTTTGTTTGGATATTAACAAAATAGTAATAAACTACTTAAAAATATTGGCATATATTTTTATTTATTTCTAAAATCGTAAAAAGCGGCTTGGTAACTTTAATTAACTTTTTTTGTAAGTTACTTTTGTGACATTGTTTGTTTTGCCCTTGCCCTTCAATTTATAGTTTTCAACATACACGAGTTTTTAAAAGATTAAAATCCTTCAGAGAATTTTGACAGTGAGTTTGAGAAACCACGCGATATAATAAAAGTAAGAAAATTCAATATATTTTATTACTGGACACTGATCGGAAAAAGACTATAACTAATAAATCCAAACGTTCAATAAACATTACAATAAAATCTAAAAACTAAACAATAATAATTAGTTATATCAACGAAAACTTACCTCTTTCGTCAATTCTACTACTCTATTTTCACTTTGCACTAATTTTCCTTTAAACAATTCGACTTGTTCTTCTAAGTAACAAATGCCATCGCAGTTTTCTTGATTTGTATCCCGATCGCACACAAATTCTTTATTTTTTTCTTTCAAACGCTGCAACTCCTGTTGCAACATCCTCAAAGTATCGGCTTGAAATTTGATTAGTTCATCTCTCTGTATCAACTAAAAATATTTCAAAAGAATGTATAAAAATCCACACGGTATTTTTATCTTTCTAACCTTTTGTAATTGTTCTTCGTCCGGATCACTCGCATCTGTTTGTACCTAAAAATCCAATAAAACTAATTCAATGCATATAATAGTACATTCCAGTAATCTTAAAATAGAATCTTTCACTTCCATAGGTATTTTTAGAACTGCATACTATAAACAATGATGGTATGTATGTTGGGGAATATATGTCTTGGTCTACAAGATTTAATTTAGTATTATTTGGAAATAGGATTAAGGTTTGAAAATATTATTATATTAATAAAATCTACAAAAAAAATTCTGTTTATATGTTTTAATTGTTAAAAAAGATAAACTTTTAAAAGTGTATTTATCTTCTTCTTTTCTTCTAAATTCCAATCAAAATAGATCAAACTACGTGTGGGATTGTAAGACCCTGTGGGCCCCTTATCCAGGTGGTGGATAAGATAATGCTTTCTAACACGGATTTGTACCGGGGAAATGAAATACTCGCCAGCGACTAATGGTAACAAAACTAGGGCAACTATTTAAGTTGTAAATGGAGATGGTTGTATAATTTTTTTGCAAAGTATAATATAGATTTCTTTACTAACTCAGTGGACGGGATCGGTAAATACACATCAAAGGTTGAATATCTGGTGGAGCAGTCATAAAGCGTTGTAGAGGACTCAATACTAAACCTTGTGGTACTCCACATACAATGCTTTCGTAATTAGAGTCAGTATCATTTGTTTTAACTAGTTGTTTCCTATTTCCCCAGTAAGATTGGAACCAATTCAAAGAAATACCTCTAATTCCGTAGAAATTTAGTTTTTTTTATCAAAATGTTGTGATTTGACATGATGATGATTTTTTATCAAAATAATGAATCAAAAGTTTGTGCATAGTCACAAAAAAACAGTGTAGTGATGTAAAAAGAGAATATTCTCGAGAACGAGAATATTCTCGGCCAGAAAATTCTCGGCGAGAATTTTCTATATTTACAAATGCTAGGTAGGATGGAGGCCTTTGTTTCCAAATGGAAACAAAATAAAAACTAGGTAGATATGGATCAAATTGTTATAATTTAAAAAATATGTATATTGTTTTTGCGAAATTCACTTATAGTGTATTTTTATGTATGAGAGAGTAATAAAACAATAAATTATGTATGCAAATCCCTAAACTGTTGATACGGGTGACTTAATGAAAAACAGATATTTGTCAACAAGTTTACAGAAGTATATAGGAAAACAATTTTAAATTGAGTATGACCACCAGGTATAAAGGTTGGAGCAGAATAGAAAACAATAGTTGTGAGGGTTACTAATCCCTAAATAAGGTTGCCAGTGTCGGAGTGATGGAGGGTAACAGGTACTAATGAATTTGCAAGAAATGTAAGATGTTTATTTTATTGGTTATATATAACCAATAAAAGTTTAATAAGTACTTACCTATTTGCAAAATAAAGTTTAATTCTTTAGATAAAATAAAACGTTTTATTTTATCTGAAATGAGTGCATTCCACGAAGTAAGGGTTTCAACAATCAAACATTTAATTCTTTAATTCCAGGAATCTACGACAGTAATTGACTAGATAATTACCTTCTAAACTTATTCCACAGAAAATGTGATAGTGGGTTTTTCCATTTTGTAGGAAGGTCCAAGTGGCGTATTCAATATAAAAAAAAACAGTTCACTAAAAGTCGGTACTTCAGTTGCAAGGTGCAGTTTATTGTGTATACTAGTGTTATGGAAAATTTGGAAGTGCCGTGTAAACGCCGAAAAATTGGTCCTTTAACAGTTAATGAAAAAACATTAATATTTAATTGTTTTAAATCATTTACAGACAAACGTTTATGTGAAAGTGTTGATGAGACCGTTGAGTTAGTTAGCAGTACACTTGGTGTTGGGAAATCTACGATTTACAGAGTTATTAAAGAAGAGAAATGTGGTAGTTTTCAAATGCCACGTAATGCTCCAGGGAAACCAAAATTTCAAATAGAATATCATTTTAAAGAAGGACTTCGACGGAAAGTGCATGAATTCTTCTTTAGACAAGAATTTCCAACATTGGATAAAGTTCTTGTCTCAGTTCGAGATGATAAGGATTACCCAGAAATGAGTCGAAGTACGTTATGGAAACTTTTATCTACTGCTTTAAACCCACCATCAGGAAAGGGAAGCAGGCTGATAATAGTACACATTGGCAGTTCAGACGGTTTTGTTGAAGGTGGTTTATTAACTTTTGAATCAACTCGTACCGGTGACTACCATGAAGACATGAACGCTGATGTCTTTCAAGAATGGTTCGAACAAATGATAGATCTTCTTCCTAAGAACTGTGTAATAGTAATGGATAATGCAAGTTATCACTCCAGACTTATAGAAGTACTGCCCACAACCAAGTGGTTAAAAAAAGACTTGCAGAATTGGCTGAGTTCAAAAAATATTACGTACCATCCCGGATCTATAAGAAAGGAACTTTATTCGTTGTGTGCCCTCCATAAAGAAAAATTTAAAAAATACGAAATTGATGAAATTGCCAAAAATCGTGGAATGACAGTACTTAGATCTCCACCATATCATTGTGAATTAAACCCGATTGAACTGGTATGGGCACAGATAAAGAGTGAAGTTTCAAGAAAAAATACCACTTTTAAAATTCATGATGTTAAACAGTTGTTTTTGGAGGCCGTAAATAATGTAAAACCTGAAAACTGGGAAAAGGCAGTAAATCACACTATTAAAGAAGAGGAAAAAATGTGGAAGCTGGGCAATATTACTGATAAAATGATCGAGTAAGTTATTATAAATCTTGGTTCTGAAAGTTCATCTTCTGAATCTGATTTGGATTTGTAACAAGTAGCTGTAAGTTTTATATTAATATTTTTATTCATCTATTTAACATACCTTAGACGGTTTTAAAAACTCTTTTTCTCTTTTGTAATTTTTAAAAATTAAAAAAAAATGTGAATTTTTTAGAACCCTTTTTAATGTAGGCCAGTCAGTTCTAATATAGTGTGTGATAAAAGAGGTCACTTTTGTTTACATACACATAACACTTTATAACACTGAAATAATTCATTTATTTTTTACAATTATTCAAAGTAATTTTTCAATTAATCTTGAGCACGCCCATGGAGTGGTCGGATGTACCAGTTAAAATTATGCTCTCTCGTTCATAAAAATAAACTATAGTATACTTTTTGTATCCCAACCATTATTATTCTTGAAGCCCAACAAACACCTACTTGCCGCTCCGCTCATGAAATGCTTTTTCGCTTTGGCCGGCTGGAATCGCTGACGCGATTTTAGATAAAATTCACGATAATCGAAGTAGTAGAAAGGATAGTATCCTTTATACCAATGTTGTTCAATAAAATCGAAGCAGGAGAGAAAATTCCCGATGAGTGGAATTTATCATACCCTAAATTTATCATACCATAAATTTCCTCCATTTTTTAAAAAGGTGACAAAAGGTCACCAAATAACTACAGAGGGATCAGTGTAATGCCTTCAATAGCAAGAATCTTTTCATCAGTTATAAAAGAAAAACTAGAACAACACATGGACCATTATAGCGAAGAACAAGTCGGATTCCGAAAAGCCAGATCATGTTTATATAATATATTCATTATGAGACAGGTGATTGAAAAGAACAAAGAAACAAAATAGAAACACATATGACCTTTATCGACTTAGAGAAAGCATACGATAGCGTGCCCAGGAAGCAACTATTGGCAGCAATGAGAAGAATGTGCGTTAGAGAGAAATGGGTGAATATAACACAAAGACTGTATAAAGAAACACACGTGCAAATAAAGTTATATATATATATATATATATATATATATATATATATATATATATATATATATATATATATATATATATAGATCAGGCTTTGAAAAGATGGTATAGAAAATGCGGAACAATGGGCATACCAGTACAAGAGAATTACTGTACATTCACTACTTTTCGCAGATGATCAAGTCATTTTTGCACAAGACAGGGAGGATATGGAATATATGATAAGGAAATTAAAGGAAGAATATTAACTTTGGGGACTCAAGATAAATATGTGCAAGACCGAATACTTATGTATTGGACCCGAGGTTGCAGATTTGAACTTAAGTTTAGAAGAAGGGACTATTAAGAGTTGTAAGACTTTTAAGTATTTAGGGTCAATGATTAGCCGAGATGGTACTTGTATGAAAGATATAGAAATGAAAATAGTACGGGGAAAACAAGGCACAAGAGCACTTCATGGAGTGATATGGAACAACATTATAACCAAAGAAAACAGAAAGATCTTTCAAAGCATAGTGATGAATATTACCCTATATGGAGCGGAAGTATGGCCAATGACAACAACAATACGAAATAAAATAAGAACAGTTGAACTGGACTTTATAAGAAGATGTCTACAAATCACAAGAGCGGATAGAATAAGAACGGAGGAAATATGCAACAGAATGGAAGTAGAATGCTCAATTACAAAAAAGTTGGAAAACAGAGCCCTGCAGTGGTACGGGCATGTACAAAGAATGCCAGAGCATAGGTGGCCGAAAAGAATATTAAACTGGGATCCGCCGGGAAGAAGACGGAGAGGAAGACCTGCTACAAGATGGAAAACATACGTCGGAAATGCTATGATAGATAGAGACCTCAGAGAAGGTGACTGGGAGAATAGAGTGCTGTGGAGGACGAAAACGGCGAACTCATAATGATCAAAGCCGAAGAAGAAGAAAATCGAAGTAACCAGGAAATCCCACGAGCCACTACCTAGGGTGTCAGTATTATTTATTGTTTTGGTGCTATATTAACGTGCAAATATTTAGAATGGATCGAAGTAAAGCAAAATTTACTGCAAAACCTAAAAGTAATATTTGGAACTACCTTAAAATTAAAAGTGTACAAGGTAAAACTATGTACTTTTGCAAAATTTGTGATAGTCAATACGTGAAAATGCAACAAGAATGACAAAACATACAGTAAAATGGGTGTAGTGCTCACATCTTAAATTTGTTGATTGGTGACATTTCCAAAACAAAAACAACGGCTTCTTTAGAAGAAGAAATTAAAGTCAT